TACCAACTTTTGAAGCCAGAACGCAATCATTCATTGCCCATTGTTTATTGTGGTGAAATTTTGTTTACCCCAGGAAAATCCATTTTTGGCCAAAATGAACAGTTGTTATCCAGTTAATTAATTGGCCGTTCCAAGCGTGGAGACTTAGGTGACTGTCTTACGTAATGGTTTAATAGATTAATCAACTGTCTATCTCTCAAAGTGGACCGGTCCAGTTAAACGTATCGCTGAATGTGAAAAGGACCTTTCAACACACGATGGAAGACGCCTTATGCAATTTATTTCGAAACGGGTAATAAATAAAATGGGAAATAAGTCAGTTCGATATATATAATAATACTTGTTAGTTTTTTTCAATGAATAAATCTTAAGTGATATTGCTTCGACGTAGTTTCTCTCACAAACGTTTGTAAAGTTTTTGGCACTGGTCCTTTCGTTGAGCCAGAAGCCTTATCCATAGATATGACCTTTGACATGAGCATGCGCAGGCCACGGAGGCGGAGTAATACACTGCTGTGATCCGAAATGTGAACACCAATGTACGCAGTGTCATCATCTTCAAGAATAAGACCCACGGGGAAAATAAATGGGGTTTCAATGTACTGTTCCCTCACAATAGGAACTCCGTACAGCAAGTCTTTATGGATCCTTACGTCATCACTGACGTATACAACTCGGAATGGATCCGCGTGTATGACTACAATATGCGAGGTGTAGAAACGCTTCCAGTTCGGATGCTTAAAAAAAGTCCCATGACCTATGGTTATATAATATTTTCCACTATAGTGTTCAACGGGTGTGCCACCTCGCAAATGTGTGGCTTTGTCGTCAAACTTAATATTTTTGGGATCATCGTCAGAGTATATGAAAGCACAGTGTCCAGTTATATTGCATCTCATAACTCGGAGTGGGTCTAAACTGTGGACAAAGTGAAGCTGGTCATTGTAATTAAATGCTGACCAATGTTTGTCTCGCGGAGAACCGGTCAACTGTGGTTTTATCCCACCATTTGAGATCTGTGGAATAATGAGCTCGTCGTCGTCGTAATCGTAAAACAGCGTGTAATCAATCCAGTACCCTCCTTTAAGAATTATCCCAGTGTTAAATGAAAAGAACAACTTGTAGTTTTCTTTGTTTAAAGCCTGCGAGTCGCCACCATATTTGCTTTTGGTCTTGACCTTGAAGAGCCGCGGCTCAATGGGTCCGTCACCGAGAGATCCGACGTTGAGTTTCCGCGTGGGAATCCCCATGATCTTTCCCGACGTTAGAGGGCGCATGTGTGCATCAAATTTTTGCGTGTAAAAATAGTTATCCAAGAAATAATTGTTTGGCGCTGAGCGTTTCTCATACCTCTCCTCTTCCAGCCAAATTCGCATAATGACTATCAATTCTCCTTTGTGCCATGCGATTGCCGGGCTGTTGGCGTAGTAAACGTTCTGTTTCGGTGGATCGGGAAATATTTTAGCCACCTTCTTCTCTGTGTATGGGGAGAACGAATGCACCAAAGACGTCGTCAAATTTGACGTCAACCTCCCGATGATTCCTGACTCGTTAAACAACGCACCATGAGACGTATATTTCAATATGAACTTATCTCCTGCGAAAATCCTTGGGTTTTTTGCCACGCCGCGGCTGTGGGAGCCTTTCTCATAAACGCCCTTCTCGTTCAAAACTTTCAGCTCTCGTGATTGCCTCCCAATCCGTCCTCCGCGCATGCGTTCAATGTGTGAGAAATCTGACGTCATACGTATATAAAATGACGTCAGTAATATGCAGGAAAATACGAAACATGCCCAGCGGTACTGTATTAGGAGACGTCCGACGTGGTGTCGCTTGAAAAATCTCTTTGCAGCCATAGGACCCCCAGACAGACGAATTCGAAACGGTAGCATCTTGTCAACAATCCGGTTGGTTAAAGTTCGTCAGCTTCCTGGAAAGTTTACCTGAGAAAAGAAAAATAGATATTAATGTTATTTAAGGGGCAGACAATCGGCAACTTGTTTAAAGATACATACAAAGTCAATTTTTTGTCATAAAAACCAACCAAATGCCAGCATATAGTTTCAAGTAGTATAACTAACAGAATTACCAAAAGGCATTCTTTAATTTTACCCGAAAGTGATGTTTGAACAGATTTTTCTGCTAGCATTCTATGCTGTATGTCAATGGGGCAGAAAAGTAGGTCACGAAAGTAGGTTAAATTGACAGTCAAAAATTTAAAGAAAGGAGCACTCTAAAGCTCTTTTATGGCTGATCGGGTGATTTATTCAGTTTATCCCTTGCCATGTCGAATTTTTTAGAGTCGTATAAGAAACTAGTAGAAGTGGTTTACATGTGTTACTGGGAATCCTCGCTACACCGATGCTCGGTTCGTATGTACCTTTAAGATATTGACTGCAGAATCTAAAAGTGTCGTGTTTAAAAATTTATTACTAAGTCGCATCCAGATGTAGACTTATTTTTAAAAGCTAAAAGGCAAGAAATACACCGACGAGGAGACATTGTACATAGCATTTAGAATATCTTCGTCACGCGGATAAAAAGGTTACAAGAGGATAATAGCAGACAGAAAAGGTTAATGGTAGACATTAAGAGTTTTAATACACAAATAAAATGTATATTGTCGAAGATAAGAAGAACCATTATCCACGATTAACGTCTGTCCGACAGACTGTTTTAAGCTTACTATGGCCGTCTTAGGACTCATTCCCAAAGGCAGTGTCGGTCTAAGTAGATCGGCCCAACTGCGTGGGGACTCTCGCTGAATGCAACTGAATGATCGACCTACTCCTGGAGTTGAGCAGAATACAGGAAGCTGGTAATTATACAAGTACGTTGAGAACAAAAGGATGAGTGTTAATCAGCTAAGCTGATTGTATTCAGCAGTTGGATCTATTTACGTGGACCGAAAGTGTCATTGGGAATGAACCCTTATTCTTCGTAAAAAAAATCAGATTTCCAGTGCTTCCGTACTACACTTTATCTACAGGATAATGATCCACAGCCATGATTGCTTCAAATCTGACCCACGCATCTGTACGATACTCGATCTCTATCTTTACTGCATCGCAGCACGTAATGGTCCCAAAACCTAACTTCTTTTTCCCATCGTCCCATCGTTCCTTCCCTCACACTATAGAGACTTTATTATTGCCTTTATTAATATGCCAACATAATGTTTTAATGTCGTGTAAAATGTATAGAATTCGATCATGTTAAAGATGTCTAGATGTTTAGATGTCCACTATCATACATTTCCTATTATATGAGTGCGTATCACTTCGCCTTAGTATTACCCAAAGAGATCTAACTAAAATAAGAAATAAGGGACATCCATTACGTTACTTAATTTTTGACACAGACAAGTAAAAGGTGGCACAGATGCAGTGTCACTGTAAATATAACTAATTGCCAAAAGTGTCACATGAGTCAGTTTATACCGAGCTAGTCAAACGTGTCATTTATCTGTCAAGTTGGTATAGAAAAACATTCAATATGCACGGCCTTCCGTGTAGGGTGCTATTAAAATAACTGCTTGTCATGCGATGGGAAATAGTCCTATAGTCATAAATAAACATTAACCTTACCAATCAGATTTATATTTTTTCATTTGCTTGAAATAATCCTAGCAGCAGGCTCAAACCGCTGTTGTGGGGTGGGGTTGGGGTGATAGGGTAAGCTACCGGTAGTCCTTAGGCAGTCATCTCACTGTAAACACTGTGGCGACTTCCCCGAGGCTGACCAGTGAATTCAATTTTAACGCTTATGTATAGATATAGTGAAATTATTCCTAAAACCTACCATCTACCAGGGCGACAGCTTAATTTTTCACAAGATATTCACAGATTTTCAAAGACACTGACTTTAGATAAATAGACGGTCATTTGATTCTCGAGCTTTTTGAAAATGTGCCTATAAATATCTGCCACCCTGGTAGAGGGTAGAACTGCCCAACCGT